TAATTGTCTTTATTGCTTTCAGACATTGGCTCCAAACACAGATGTTCATTACTGAGAATTAAAGAAGGGTAAAAGGTCACAGTGACCAAGATCAGCTTAATCCTTCTTTAGACTATTTGGCCCCACTATCTTGAATGGTCTTCATCTTTGAGGAAAAAAAGAATATTTAGACTGAACATAAAGGTGAGCGCATCATTCAGGGGGCTCATTTCATCGGGCGGGCTCATGCCTGTGGCCCCCTCTCCTGCCTCCCTAAACATAGCAAAAGGAAAAGCCCCTGAAACGATCTGAGGAAAAGCCCCTGAAACAATCTGTTTTTTAAAAGCCTTACTTTTGCCTGAGTCTTGATAGTTCCCCAACTTTAGGATTCCCTGGACAAAAGAATTCTACTGAAACAAGAGAAGCAAGAGCCTTAAAACCTAAGCAATGAAAATAATAATAATAATAATAATTTCTTCATTTAATACATGGGACTCTCAGGACAAAGAAATTTCACATTGGCAAACACTGCTTTGTTGTGGTTGAGTTTTATTTAGTCCGGATATTGGGGCGTTCCCATGCTTTGACATTGTGTGTATGAGTGTAAGTAGCCCTAACTACAATCCCCCAAAAGGGCCTTTCACCCAGTCACTTTGCAAATCATGTATCGGAGAGGATAACATTTACACAAAATTCTTCCTGGTCCAAGATTGATGCTTTAATCGCAAAAGTCAGCACTGGCATTTTTTTTGTGTTTTTTTTAATTTGTTTGGCAAGGGCTAACTAATGGAGCACTGAGGTTTAATTTGGTTTTATACTTGTTTTCCTTGCTTTGACTGGTACTTTCTCAGCCATTTTGTACAACATCTACCTGACCCTTTTCAAACTTAGAACAAGCGGCTGACCATTGAAGTAAAATCCAACGCTGTGTAGAAACTGTCTTAAAAATCGGATTTTCTAAATACAAGAAACTTGAGTTTCGAGTTGCACTCTCTTTGCCCAAGTAACCGACACCAGCCTTCCTCGTAATCAGATGCTTCTGAGCTGCCGGGCATCTGATGGAGAGTCCGGACGCTGAATTTCCAGTGTTCAGGACCATATGATTCACATAGCAAGTGCTAGGGCTCAGTGGCTGGACTCGATCTGCCAACCTATTCTACGCAGTATACCTGTCTGGTTTGGGGAGTTTCCAACCTCGAGAGGACTTGCATGATTTGCATGTTCAGTCCCAGTCTCAGAGAAGCTCCGCTTTCCACATGTGTGTACCCCACTGCTCAGGTGCCAGCTTTTCTCCAGCCATTTGATAAATGTCTGCACAGTTCGGGACATTTGGCTGTTACAGAGAACAAACCGTGACACCCCTCCTTCCCCCAAATTCTACGCCTATACGCTGTGGCCATGCCCTCCTCTCAGGCAAATGGCTGGGTGAGCAGGCGTTGGCTAATGACATCTGACAGCCACATCCTTGAAACGTTTGCTAATATCTCCGCGAACAGGCACGTTCGGGACGTTAACTGGTCGAGTTACAGATGACTGCCAGAGCTGCCCTCCGTGCAGCCTGGGCAAGTCACGCTTTGTTAAGTCCATTGGCCATTATGCTGATTAAAAAAAAAAAAAATTAAAGAGCATTTTTATGCAGAAGACTCTCTTGGTAGCAGGTGTGACCCCTATTTGGGCCCTGGACGCCTCTCTCGCCTGAGTCCGCTCCAGAAGGCTGTAGCCTTTCGGAGGGAAGAGAAAAAGCGAAGAGCAGGGTGGGCAGGCACCAATAGGTTTCCGAACAAGTGGGCGAAAAATCACTGACCTTGCTAGCTTGTGACCAGCGTGAAACGTGTTGAACCTGTGTGGTAAAACTGCTTCCTCAGTCTGAGGATACGCAGTTTACAAAAAAAAAAAAAAAAAATTAAAGGCTTCTCATGCTGCAGCCCCTTCAAACTCCAGGGCCCTGATCCCGAGGGCGCGCACCACGAACTCCAGCGGGCGGGCTGCGCGCCCTGGGCCGTACTGGCGGCCGGGGTCACGCCTGGGGGCGCCGGGGCGCGTGCGCCTGCGTGGGCGTCCGCGCGTGCGCGCTTGTTGACACCCTGCCTGGCAACCCAGAGAGCGCGCCTAGACGCGGGCAGCCTGCGCGGCGTGCGTCGTCTCGACGCAGGCTGGGGCGGCGCACGCGCGATGCGTTAGCCCGCGGTTCTTGTGCCCAGAGCGGGGTGGATTACCGACTCTCCCAGCTGGTGTCGGCTCTTGAGCTCTGGAAACCTGAGGGAAAGACGGTGGGAGTGCGCCAACACGTGACCCAGGGGAGGGGCACGGCGGGACCCAAGCGGAGAAAGCGGACCCGGGGAGACGCTGGACGGGCCTCATCCTGAGGAAGCCCATGGGGTTATTTATGAGGCCTGATTGAAAGTAGTGGCTGCCAGGAAAGTGAAAAGGGAGCTCACCTCCAGCTAGGAGAGGAGCTACAGTCGCAAGAATGCTGTTTATGACGATATAAATCACCGTGGAGCGCGTGACGGGAAATATGGAGACTGCGACTTTGGGGTAGAAACAAGGAAACAAAGTCAAGAAGGAAAAATGAGTTTTCGCCCCCTCGTTTCTGTCCACCCCCTCCGCCCGCGCGCAGTCCCTCCCTCCCCTAGGAGGCCGCCATCCCGGCGGGGAGGACCGGAGGAGACGGCAGCCCCCGCCCCCGCAGCCCCGCGTGGCGGGCCGGGTCTGCCCGAGTCTTCCCCAAGTTTGCACGAGGATCGTTAGAGAGCCGGGGAATACATGTAAATAAACAACCTGGAAGATTTACGGGAAGGAGTTCAATTTTGTAGGACTGTATTTATAGAGCAAGCGCTGGCTCACTTAGAAATAGATTAATGGGAAGCTAAAATTAATGGACTTGTGAACTGCAGGTTTATTTTCTGAGGCTTCGACATGACAGACAACCGCCCTCGAAGTCCACGCGTGGAAGGCAGTTTGCCTCGGGAAGGGACACGTCCTACCGGGCCGACAACTCTCAGGTGGCCCCTAACTCCGGCGCCCGGGGTACCTGGGGAGAGACCCTACGGAACTGTGACTTGCAAATGAAGAAAATGAATGTGGCTTCATTAAAAAAAAAAAAAAAAATCGGGTCTTCCTTCCAGCACTATTTTTAATCAAGTTCTTAACCCGCTAAATCGGGCCGGCGGGTGCGTTCTGGGGCACCGTAAGCCGCCTACCGGACCTGGTGGTCTCTTGGCAGTCAGGGGCGGCAGCGACCCCTCCTCCAGGGTCATCCGGGGTCCCCGCGCTGGGCCGGTCAATGACCTAGAGGTTTTAACTACTGCTTTTTCCCTACTCCCTCCACAGCGCCTTAACACAGTAACAAAGACCAGGAGCTGTGACACTCAGTCCAGGGCTGTCTTATGAGGCAAGGCTGTCTCCGGCTTCCAATCCCTTTCCTTCCCTTTTCTGGTTCTTCTTGCCAGTTCTTTTCATGCTCCTCAAAATCTTGAGTTTTACTTGCTATAGATGGTTGTCTCAGACCCTCTCTTTGCCAAATGGGGCTGGTGAGTTTGGGTAGCCTGGAGCTTACCTGTGGGATAATAGATTGCCAGTCGGTTTATCAAGGGCTGGTGCGAACCTTGGGCGGGGAAAAATTGCCATAGGATATGAAAATTACCCACCACCTGCTTTGTATAATCCCAATGGTAACCAACCCCCACCCTCTGTAAAGCAAATGAAAAGGACACTCAATGTAACGACTGAACCAGAGACTAAGACGTATCTATTTTTTTCTAGGTAGATGTATGTCCTAATCACACGTCCCTTGGTTTTCTCTGTTTCCTTTTATTTACCCACACACACAATTGTTTTTTGTTTTGCTTTTCTTTGAGTCCACTGTTTATTGTAGCCATGATCTCCCAGCTTTTAATTAATAGGACAGGAAAGCGAAATCTCACATACAGTGGATTCCACTGTTCCTTCTGCCTTTCCCTATAGGGAAGTCCAATTGAAAAAGATTCACCTTTAAAAACAAAATTGGTATAAGAGGCATATTAACTGAAAACAAACTATATGCTAAGCACTCGTATAATCTGGGATCATCAAGATTTAACATTTCCAATTCTTAAATTCACATACAGGTTACTATTTCTGCTTTTTATAATTAAACTAGGCAATATTAATGAAGTAGAGGAACTTAGGAAGTCCATATTTATTTTTACAGATAAAGACCTTGAGGCACAGAAAGGAGCAGTGACTCATCCAAACTGTATAACAATGTGGATGATTTTGCTTTCCTGGCCTCAGGGAAGACACCTAAGCCTTGGAATAAAATACAGATTGAGAGGATGTTTGATCACTGCAGCCCATTAGGGCCAGGCTGAAGCCTATTAACCCAGGTGCGAAAAGCTCTGACTTCTCTATGCAGCCTCTGAGCCTAAGAGTCATCTTGCTAAGACATGTACACCTTTTTCCTCTTCTTGGTTGAGGAAGGTTTTTCCTCCTTTGTTTATGGAGGGCCTTGCACTGCTAATGAGATCAGGGTTGGGTTCAATCCTAAAATGGGTGTTAACTCCTTTAGATCTCAAGTTGAGGGGTGCAGGAGCCCACACCCAGCCCTGAAGCCTTCTCCTATACTGTGCACCATCTCCTTCTTTGAACACCATGCTAGAATGCCACTGTATGAGCAGTGGGAAGGGAGCATCATCTTTGACAAGGACCCAGAGTCCTTTAGTTACCTGGGAAGTAAATTCAACTCCTCAATTTGTAAAGGGCAAAATAAACCAAAAGATTCAGTTAATGTTAGCTTTTATTGCAAATCTGGTTAGAAATAGGAGAGAAGAATGTCGATTTGGAATTTTAAAAAATCAAAAACACTTCCTAGTGAAAAAAGTGTTCCTTTTTCTGAGAAGCAAAATTTATTCTATTTCTGTTGTAATGAAAACGCTGTGGGTGCTTTGATGAGAGGGGACAAAAAGAAAAAAAGCTTCTTGCTATAGTTTTCCTGTCTGTAAACACTGTCTACATTTAAGAAACTGAAGATGAAAACAACAAAAACACAACAATCTTTTTATTTATGTAAATCAGATTAACACTGGACAATAAACCAATTTCTACCCATTACCATAACAGCTTGTTTATAAAGAACAGAAAAATTCAGATAGGATTCTACCTAGGGTCAAGCGGTTTTTTTTTTTTTTTTTTAACCACCCATTCACAGAGGTATAGATTCACAGATAAATAATCCCAAACTACTTGCTCGCCATATTTACACATTCCCATTAAATTAAGCATAAATAAATATATACAAACTTAACATGAATACCCTCCAGAGCTCTTCTTGTGAAGAGTCAATAGATTGATATTTCTTGATTGTGTGGCAAAAACAATGTTAGAGAATTAGAGATCAACTGAAAAGAGGAGTCGATTTTGGCATTTAAGGAAGGATAGTGATCATTCCGTTAAAAAACGGGTTTTTTTCGATACTTTTTTTTTTTTTTGCCAGTAATTTCACATACATCGGCAAAGGAGGGGAAACGCTGTTTGGGCTTTTGAGGCAACATCAGATGGTATAAGGTTATTTCCTTTCCACATAATGTATTACAAGTATAGATTATCAGTTGTGACGAAAAATTATCTATAAACACTCTTAACTAGGAACGCCTTGTAGCAGAGGAACAGTGTGTAGATAAGTTCGGGGTTTCGAGTTTTCTATTCGACCAAAGTTTTCATAGGACATGAAATAATTGCTTGAGAGAAAGTGGCTTCCTTGGTCAAAGAAAACAATGCAGCCAGGTCTTTGAAAGCCGCTTCCGTTCCTTAAGTGGGGGGTGGGGGGGTGGAGGGGGGGGGGGTGGAGAAAGCTATGGGTGTGGAGGCCAGAAAGAAGGAAAGAAAACGCAGGGTAATTGGTGATGTGGGAGTGAAGGTGGTGGGAAGAGGAGAAAGTTACCTTCCCACTTTGGGGGACAAGGTAAAGATCTTTTTAGATGATGGAATCCTTACCCAAAGGGCACACTTCTTACTCCCCAGAGACCCACAATAAGTGTAGGAGGCAGCAGGGTTGGGCAGAGAATGGTTTGGAGATCTTTGGAACCTTTAAAAGAACTTGCGAAGTGGAAAATGTGAAGGCAGCACTGCCCCATCCTAACTCTTCCTGTCTTTCTCTATTTTGTTTTGGGACTTAGCATTTAGGAGTTGGCACTGGCAGGGGCCAAATGTCTGAAGAGTGCAGGGGTCAGGGAAAGAGCTGCAACTCACCTGTTTGGTTTGAAAACAAAGCTCAAAGGGATCTTCCTTAAACGTTTCCCTCGACTTAAAAGGCAAACTATTGCGTTAATCCTACTGTTTATTGATTTATAGGCCCAAGGAAACCAAATCTTTTAATAACTCAATTATAAGATAAACGTAGCTGCCCTGGCTAACTAAAGCAAGGGGGCGGGGGACCTGCATGAAAGGAGAAGTGAGGGAAGGAAAAAGGGTAGTGGGCTCACTCCAGCAACCAGGAGGCTGGGGGTGGGGCGCAAAAGGTTCTGTCTTGCTGGAGCAGGGAAGAACACACAAATGAGGGCGTAGGCCAATGAAGGTAGCCTGCCTTGCCAAGTAAGACAATTCCCATCCCATTTCCCCGCTTTAGGATTGTGATAGTGGGGTGGTTCCGTACTGGCAGAGGTGGAGAAGGGGAAAGCTTCGGATTCCTTGGATATTTCTAGACCACTTTCCCTCCAGGAGCAGCGCCCGGAGTGGCCGCTGGCAGCGCTGGGAGCCCTCCCCACCTGCAGCCCACAGGGCGCCGCCCCATTACCTACTGGAGAGTGGGGCTTTCTCGGTCGCCTTAGCCCTTAGGGTGAGACCGAGAGCCGGAAGGGCCCGCGCAGCCGGCAGCCCCTCCAGCGGCTGATTCTACGTCCTCAACACGACTGGGCGCCTGTGGCCCACACGCCCTCAGGACCTGCACAGTTAGAGCAAGGCGCGTCCATCGCGTCTCTCGCACGTCACACGCGTGGGGCGCGTTGCCCTGCAAGGAAAGGAGACGATCGTTTTCAGTGTGGTCTCTCCTGGCCTTGTGCAATTAGAACACATCTAATGCGAGTGGCCAGGCCCTCGGACGAAGGCACAGTCCTCTGAGCTGGGAAAAGAGAGTGGTTACACTCTCCATTACGTCTAGTTCTTGGCCATTGTATTCCTCTCAACAGGTCTAGGGCTGGGCCCTGAAGATCAGAGGTGCCAAACGAACCTAGGGGCTGAAGATGGGCTGCAGTGTGGCCCCAACAGTTGCTTGGGCCCTTTTGCTGACGTGAGAGCAGCTTCTTAACTTCCCCATCCTCTCTTAATAAAAACTGGCAAAGCACCCACCCAGCAGGTTCCTATAACCCCAACCTCCCAATCCTCCCCAGTCCCCACCCCCACGAAGGAAAACCAGGAGAGGTGCAAAACTGAAAATCCGGGAGAACTTAGTGGGTCCTAACTATAAATCCTGTAGAACAACATCTATATCGTTATCTTCAAGGGGTATTGTAAAGATCCTGTCTATTTTGTTAAATAGGTGAGTGTATCTACACTGTATTTAGAGACTTCTCTCATTCACCCCCATCCCGGGATAATTTCTCACAGCTTTTGGAAAGGTGCAGACAATGGATTCCACATCATATTTCATGATAATGCTAAGATGGAGCCCAAGTATGAAGCTGGGCTGCCAGAAGTGAGAAATATTAAATGCATGAAACTTTATCTACTGGGAATAGTCCCAGTGTATCCAGACGGTAAAAATCAAAGCTGAAATACATCTCCTTTCACTTTGCATTATTTTGCCATTATATGCCGAAACAAGTGCACGTCTGGGAAGGAAAAAAAAATGCCTCATTCATAAAGCATCTTGTAAGAAAGCAATTGTTACAGAAATGTGAGAGCTTGTGCCACCCTCCTCCCCACATTCACTCGCAAAGCTGCTTCTTTCCTCGTTTAAACAGCAATCACCAAAGAACCCAGGGAAATCAAATCAATTTTAAATGCAGGGCAATACTATTAGAATATAGGGCTCTAAGAATCCTCACTCTTTTCCCTTAAAATTCATTTTGCAGCCCCCCTCCCCCCGCCACCCCCACCGGAATTCGAGTGTTGAGGAACGTTAGCATGTAGATTCAAAGCTGCTTCCATCATATTGGCCACTTTCTAAATTATTCCCTTTGAGCTTCTTTAAAGAAGTGCACCTGCAGAATTCTGACACACAGGCTTTGATTAAAAAGGGATCCGATTTTTTTCTCTGTACCTTATAGATTGTGTAGGAAGCCCAAGTCCTCTTTGAAGAAGCTCATAAACCATGCGGGCAAAGCTTTGGAAAACAGAAGAGAATGAAATGGTACATACCCCTCCGAAGAAATTACATACTAATCAACGTATTCATATTGTGTGTGGTTTTTTTTTTTTTTTTTTTTTTACTATAGTTCATAAAATTGGTAGATGACACAAATATAACAAATGTGAGATTCTCTGTATGCAGATGCTGGCAAGGCTGGGAGATAGTAACATTTCTGAAAGGAACTGATGATGAGTCTGAATCAACTTATTGGTCCGGATTTTCCTTAGCCGCCAGAACCTGCTCGGCCGGTCGGCACCAAAAACTGCAGCCTCCGCCTAGTCTCCGCAGGCCTCCCTCCCCGCCCTCGCCCTCCCTAATTATGCAAGCAGCCGGGGAGCCAGGCCCGGTGAGTTAGGATCGCAGGGCGGGGTGGGAGGGGTAAAGAGAGGACTGAAACCAAGCAAAAGGACCAACCACACTCATTTTCCTCCCAGAAGATTCCCGTAACAATGTGAGGAAGGGAGGGTGACGAGGAAAAGGGTGGCTGGGAGAAGGGTGAGGTGAGATGGAGGGCGGGGACTGCGAGAGAGTTTCCTAAAAAAAATATTTAAAATTAAAAAGTTCGTGCGTCTCAGTCAACCAGCTCTCAAAGCACTGAAACCAACGTTTCTCCGATTTTCTTCCAATAAGTTAGCGTTTTTCTCATGTTTAGTCTTATGTTTATTTTCCAAAGGGAAGGGGAAATCATGGTTTTCTTTTATTATCAGTATTACTAAGCTCGAAAGAACCGAAGTGGAAAATCCGGACGGTTGTCTCCAAGTGTATCTTGAAATAGACACTGAGAACCGATATTGTTGCTCCGTTGTACGCCTCAGTTTTTTTTTTTTTTTTAAGTTATTTAGCTTTTTTAAAATTTTGATTGTATGTGTATTCTACCTAATATAATTCTTCCAAAGCCAATCCAGTATTTTAAAGCTAAAATTAAATTTTTTGTTTTTCCTTTTGTATTTAAAACATTTTTCCTTCTTTTTTTAAATTTTTCATTTCCTGTGTTTCTCCTCCTTGTCGCCAGTTTTACTACCTGGGCCTTCCCCAGACGTGTGCCTGTTAGTGGTGGTGTTGTTCAAGAACATCTTGTCCATGCCTTTGAGCGCCTCGGTGAGATAGTTCTGCAGGGCCGTGAGCGCGGCGCAAATGGCCGGGGCGCCGAAGCCGTGCGTGATGAGGCTGAAGTGCGTGAGGCAGCTCTGGATTCCCGGCTCCAGGATGGGGCTGGGTCGGCTGTTCCCGATCGGTGTCCGGTCCTGCGCCAGCAGATCCGTAAATTCTTTACAAAGTTGCCTGCAAAGGGGTAGGCGAGGCACAGAAAATCACCCTCAGTGTCGTTGTCATGGGCATTAGAAAGGAGACGCTCACACACTCCCTGAGGCGCAGGGTCACCGAGGAGCGAGGCTAATGTGGACGATTCCGCTCTGTTTCCTTTCCCAGCGCTCTCTCTTCTCGAGCAGCTGGGACTGAAAGGAAAGCGGGGGTGGGGAGCTAATGCACCCCTTCCACCCCAAAGCCTTGCCTTCTCCTCCCCTTTGGTGTTTCCCCCTCCATCCCCGGACCGCGTGGACCCTGCTTTGGGAAATTAGCGAAGCTTTAGCAGTTGATTTGGAATAATTCATAATGTTGAGCTGTTGAGCTCTTACCTGGCATTTCTTTTGAGCTCTTTCCCCCACGTCCCTCCCACCTCTCCAGCCTCTTGGTGATGAGGCGCAAAAAGCCCTGAAAGATTTAGGCTCCTCGGCCACAAGCCTGTCCCTGGCACTGAAGCAGATTGCTGGAGACTTCCATAGCCCAAGGCAAGAAACTGTTTATTCTAGAGAATGCTGATTCCATTCAAAGCAAAAAACCTGTTTACCTGCAGTATTGAGGGAGGGAGATAGTTTCTGCCTTTCCTCCCTTTCTTTCTTGCAAGTGTAGGCTACTGAAAATCTTTGTATAACCAGATTGTTGTCAGTATAAAAGGATTCCCATATACTTTAAATAAAACCTAAAGGTAGACTGTTAAGACACTGGGGAGGATAGATTTTTATTTGCTGAAGGTTTTTATTTCCTCAAGGCACCTACAATTTAGAGGAATCTCCCAGCCTTAGAAATCATGTGTGCCTAACTATGGATTGAGCTTATTTGAGAAATTTTAATATAGGAGCTGGATAGGATGGTTTTAGCCCTGAAGGTCAAATGGCTGGCAGGCAGACACACAGCATCCCAAAGGCCATAGCTTTTCACAGATGGGCAGATTTCTCCTGTTCACCTGCCTCTACCCAGCCTGTGGGTCTGTGGCGTTTAGAAAAAAGCGAACCCCAATGGGATGGCTTGACTGACACATATCTAGCCACATCTGGCCTAGCAAACAGGTAAACAGGACAGCTGACTGGACTCAAAGAACCCTGGGCATCCTTTTCCAGGGTTCTGGATTCTCCCTTTGAAATACATACATAAATCCCACAACCAGGAAGAAATAGGTAAGGGTTCTCGCCAAAGTGGTACAGTTTTTAAGCTGTTAAAAGGTACACCTTAGAAACACCTGTGAGGTTCAAATACACACTTTGAGGCCCCCACCTCCACTAATTCCAATTTAGAAGATTTGGGGATAGCCCCATATGGAAATGTCTTGAAAAGCTCTCCAGCTGATTCTGATACTCCAGGTTTAAACGTGCTGGACTAAGGGAAGCCACAGTGGTTGGACAGGGGCAGTTATATGCATACCTTAGGGAAATGAGAATCATTTGTGATCCTGATTTATACAGTTTGGTTTTATTTTTTTCTTTAAAGTACCTTTCTTCCTTTATAAAGCACAACTGATCCCCACCACCAGCCACCAGCGCAAGGGGTAGGAGAACAATCTACTGACTATTATATTGCTTGATGAAAACCCTCTAAAAAGAGGGTGGATGCCAGGTTTTGATCATTGGAAGAGATGGGTAAAGTCTTTCCTTAAGTTTGCACTCATTATCAAAGTGCCAAAAAGGATATTCCGAACTGGGGAGAACAAATGCTTAGAGTCAAACATTTTAAATCTTCAAAGCCCAAACCAGGGTCTGTAAGCAATTAAAGTTCTGGGACATTAATATTTTTTGACCCTGCGGAAAGGGGCAATCAAATTCCAATCACGTCTCAAAAACATCTGGACAAATTTGAGCAAATGATTTTTCAGCCTTCCATATATTTCTTTAAATTACACTGTCAACGGGACAAACCGCGTCCTCGAGCACTAAATAAATGAACGCCGCTGTTTGGGCCGCGCCTGCGAGAGAAACGTGCTGGCGCACGCAGCGCCGCCCACTGCAGGCCTGAGCCGGCCATAAAACACCAACAATATGACACCGAAGCCAAAGACAGGAGTAAATCAAATAAATAGAAAACCCACTGTAAAAGTTCAAATGAGCTCTAGACCTAAATTTAGCCAGAGATTTACTATTTTCCCCTCTGGAGTTGTAGTAAATTTTACAAGTCTGTGGAAGATGACAAACAGCAACGTTGGAAACGGAGTAATTAGAGCTGTGGGTAGAGATGGGTACACGTGGGTTTTATAGACACTCTGAACGAGCACACAGGGCTGTGCGGCTATGACAGGGAGATAGATGTGAAACCCAAGCAGGAATATGCACCTCCAGATCCAGAGAAGAGCTGGAACAAGAACTCACCCGGAAAAGATCTGTCTGACATCCCCAGAGTGATAGAAAAGAACTGTAAGAAGCCTGGATTCGGATTAACAAAGCCATTTTCCGCAGAGAGAAGAGACCTGAGACCAACCTGTAGCCTGTCAGCTCTGCCTACCTGGCTTGCCACAGCCACAAATGCTACTTCTAGACAACCCTCTGAGTTCTTTCTCTGCCCCTCCCCACCGCTTCCTCCCAAGCCAAACCAGGCGGCCTAGCCAGCTGGGAGTGAGTTGAGAGCCCAGGGTCTAAGACACTCACTTGGTAGCCAACAGCATATTCTTTCGGGAGTGCAGGTCACTCGGGTCTGTGTGCTGCCGGTTCAAATACTCAGAGACGGCTTTGGCAGGAAACTCTGTTTCGCAAATGTACCCAAAATCCCGAGCTAAGTGAACAGCTTCTCCTGAAAAAGACAACAGTGAAGGTAATAATCAGCACCCAGTCCCTAAATATCTCAGGGCATAAGACATTCTCTCATCAACTTTGTTAGTATTTCCAGAGAAGGCCAGCTGTTGGAGCAGAAAGCAAAGGTGAGACAGATGCCTAAAGTAAAAATGATTCTCAAGCTGTAATTAAAATTGGTGGGACCAACTTTGCTCCTGCCTCTTTTTCCCGCCTCTCCCTGAGCCAAGTCCTAGCTAGACATCCCCTGAATAGCTATGGGGTCTTCCACACCCCACTCTTTTTGTCTTAAGGGAAAGATGTGCCAATAAAGGCAAGATTCACCTTACAATTGGATCTAGATATTTGGCTGGATATTTAAGCCAGATTTCCTCCTCCTTTTTAAAGCATCTGTCACACTTGCTTTAAATAAAATTTAAAAGTCACCATCTTCTTGCTACAATTGTATTACAACAATTATATAAAAACAAGCCCATGTGTATACATGTTCACATATATTAAAGAACATATGTAAAATGTATATGGAAAGAGTATTTCTATCTGCAATGAAATAATAATTCTCCTTATCACTTTTCCTGCTAGTCAAGTTTCAGGTTTTTCCCCCTTCAGAGGTGCCTGTCATCATTCTCCTACTTTAGGACTTTTCACTGCACAAAGATTACATAGCAGCTATAGAAAACTGGGGTATCTAAGGTATTACTCAGCTTATATAAAAGCCCCTTTTAAGTAAAGCATTATTACCTTTTAAAAACACAGCCTTTGGGGTTCAAAGAAAGATCCCACACATGAAAAACAGATATGTTGAAATACCCCATGGCTACATTATTTTTAAGGAGGATGACTTACTTTTAATCATTATTATCATAATAACAAAAGACTTCAGGCATGCTGCTTACAAGGATTCACAAAACCAAAAACTGCCAAACAAATATTGGAATTTTAGTGGGGTTTCCAGTTTCCTCTCTTCTCCACTAAAATCCCTCTCTTGAGCTAAGGTTACCTTGATTGCTTTTCAAAATGAGGACTGTGATATTAGCAACTCCCTGAAGGGTAAAATGTGAAACTTCCAGGCTGAGAGTCAACTGCTAATAAGTGTGGTCTGGAAATTCAGTGACTCCGGAGGGTGTTTGGGCCAAGCAACTTTGCCTTTAAAATGTCCAAGTATGAGGCCTGTAACTATGATGATTAATGGTTGCTGCTTAAATATTTTAAGATTCCATCTTCTAAAAACCAACTCTCTACAGGAGTGTCATAATGTCATACCCATACAAATGGAATTAAAAAACAAGACCTACAAGCTAGGTGCTAGAGAAAATTCTGCATCTTCCTCCATTAAGACCATCTAACTGTATTTCATATTACTTCCCACAAATTCAACTGCAGATCCTCTTGTTCTAGACTGTGTAGATGATTTTGTTTATAACATACTATAAATGTCATCCCTAAACTCAAACTGATGAGCAAATTACAAGGTGCTTATTGCAATTATCACCCTTTAATTCACAATTGATGAATCTACATTGAAGATAATACAGGACTCCCTTACATATTTCCTCAGCCCCCCTCTCCAATCTTCTCCTAGCCATCATTGGCCTTATTAAGCTATCAATATTTCATTAACAATTTGTCCCAGGTAGTCTGCAGATTTGGCCCTAGGAGTGACAAAGGTTTTTAAATAACCATAAGGGGTCATGAACGCAATGTGTTTTCTACTACTGACAATTCAAATCTGGGAAGGTGAAGGGTGATAGAATGAATTATTGCTTAAAGAATTACTCTTGCAAGAGTTCACACAGAGGATGTCCTGCACGTGGCAGCAGGGGTGTCCCCTGCTTTGACTTGGAGGCTGTACCTTCTGTCATATACTTCCCTTGGCCTCTCTACAACTGCTGGCTTCCTCTAAGTAAAAGGACCTTTGAACCTCTCTCAAGCAGTCGCTTGACATCCAACTCATAAGGGCACAACAATCACAATGATTTCCAGTTAATCATGAAATGTGTAAAATGTCAGCCTCCAGCCGACAGTTAAGCTCACCCACTTCATGAAATGGCTACACGTCTTGCTTACCTTCCACCAGGGAGGTGAGTAACGTGACATTTGCTGCTTTGCGCCTGCCCGCGGGTAAATTCAAACCGATTTTTTCTAGCCTTTCTCGCAAAGATCTCCCCCCATTTTTCGATTTGGCTCTGAAATTGCAAGAATTAACATTCTGATTAACCTTAGAGTGTTCCTGAAACAAAGTTTAGACTTAGCAATCTAAAGCCCAGTGGAGCTTGAAGAGGTTTTAACTTGAGGTTAGCACATTTTTCCCCCTTCCTTTTGGTTATTTGCTGATAGTTTGCTGAGGTTTGCTTAATTTCTGCAATACAGAGAATTTTTTTTAACTGAGTTTTCTTTTTTTATGTTGTGAGAAAAAAAAAGATACCAGATGGGAATAATTAAGTGTAGGTTATGGGTCTAGAAAGGTAGAAGTTGCACATGCACGTGCATGTTCCTTCCTTGTCATGAAGCCAGTGAGGTGAGCAGAAACTGGGCAAGCACAACCTTGCTGAAGAGGGAAAGGGCCCGGTGGCTGAGCAAGGAGAGGGCACTTGCTCAAACAGGTGGGCTTTGTGAGGAAGGGGTCAAGAGTTGCTATAAATGGTGTTATGTTAAAAGGAGACAGCAATGTGAAATATAAAATGGTGATGATCATAGTAAGAGACTAACACCTTTGGAAGTGTAGCTATGTGATGAGCACTTTATATTGATTATTTTACTTAATCTCAGCAAGTTTATATACACATGCTTAATGTTCAGAGGGTGACTGAAAACTTCACACTTGGGAGGCTCAAAGCACTCACTTGAAAACAGAATCAAAGGAGGGCAGAGCAAGAGGATTCAAAATGAGAAAGTTCCTGGGTCACACCCTTAATTTTTCCCAAGATTCTCTTTGTATGTGCTAAGGTCTGGAGAAAAATACAAGTAAAAATCCCCAGTTACTGTAATCTCTTTTGCTGTACTCTTGATACAATCACATTTAGGAAAGAAAAAGACTGCCAACTCCCATAACGGGTTATCTTGAAGAGTTTTGTCTCATACAAAGTCACTTTCAGATCAGGGACACTGCCAAAGTATTCAGGCATTGGCAAGGACTTTGGGGGAGGCTTTAAATCTTCTTAAGATAAAAGCCACATTCTGTCCCATTTCCATGAGGAGGAGTCAGTCTTTGGGCTGGAATACTGTGAAGCACCTGAATGGCTCCAAGGAATATCTCTAAGTACTTCTAAAATGGTATTATTGCTATTATTGATGGTGGTGTTATTGAAGGAGGGATGTCACAAATTTAGAAAAGAGTTGATCAAACTGAATTACGGTGCGTCAGCAGGTCGAGAGACCAATTTAACTGGGTGCCAACTGCATTTTAAAACATGCAATAAAAGAGAAAGAGTACACTGATGGTATAAAGAGAGTTGCTTCATGAAACTTATGTTTTAGGGGTGTGTGTGAGTGTGTGCGCGCGCGCGTTCTGCGTTGTACTCAGGCTAGAGAATGCCCCCCCCCCCCCCCGCTCCCCAAGATGTCCTAGGGGTGGGAGGGAGAGAGGCTCCAGGCGCAGGGCCAGGAAAGTGAAACGAGTTTCCAGGGTGGCAAAATCTGCGGTAAAACCTACGGGGCTCGGGCAGGCCTGGGTTCAAGGGCGCCAGGGTTTACGGGTGAGCACGTGGCGGCCGCAGCTCCTCTCAAGCGCTGCGCGGAAGCACTGCTCGGGCCTCCCAGTTGCCAGGCAACCGCGTTAGACTGCAGATTGGGATTTGCTGGAGCCTTCTCCTCCCCGTCCAATAAAAATTGGTGGGGTTTTTTTTAGGGGGGAGGGGGAGGTGTTACCTTCTGAGGACTCCACCGAGGAGAGATGCATTGAGGCATTCAGGGGGCGACAGCCGTCTCTGAACTTCTCCCACAGTTACTTTGTACTTTGAAGTTGAACTGAGCAGAGACAAACGGCCTGGGACCGAGCAAAACACCTCGCCGGTGTTGACCGACATGCCTCCCAGGAAACCATCTTTATTCATCATTAGAGAAGTCACCGATTTGGGAGGAACCGGAACTAGAAAGAGAGAAAAAAATGCCATAAAGGTGACCAAGTTTCGATCCTGGTGACATGCTGATAGAATGTGTCAATGTGTTAGGCCACAGGACAGACGCCAAGTGGAAAGCTGAGGGAGGAAGTGTTTGTTCTACAGGGGCTGCAGTGCATTCAGGGCATCGTAAACAAACAGATGGAAAAGCCATCACTCCTCTGGAAACTTACTTCTTATGTAGACATATGAATGTCACTTGCTACAGTCCTGCTCACTACACAAATCAAAAAATCAAACAATCTAGAGCTTGGACTGTGCTGTGAACCAGGCAAATCCTATTCCATCATGTTGTAGCTCTGTGACCTTAGACACCCGAGTGACTCTCTGAATCTCCTCAGTTCCCTTATCTGTCTCCTGAGGATAATAATGCCTATCTCATTTGGTGCTGAAGCCTGAAGGTGATTATCACCATGTAGTGATATAAAATGGTAATACCAGTGGAAAACCCTTCCTCCTTTCCTATTGGACCCAAATCTATGGTCATCCCTAGAAAGGATCATCAGGGTAGGCCCCATCAGATGCCATGGCCAAGAACAGACAAATAATAACATTGAGCCAAGGAGCTGGACCCAAAAGAGCTGCTCTTTAAAGTGGGTCCCATTCTTTCCCACATAATAACAACAGATTCATTTAAAAGTGAACCTAAATGCTCATCTCCAGTGAAAGCAATTCTTCAGTGACATGAATTTCGTTTGCAAATTAAAGCACTGGCTGTGATTGTTTGGAGCAGTTATGATTTACAACAGGTGCCCTGATCAATCAACCAATCACTCTAATTCGTATAAGCGGCGGTCTTGCCTTGCCCCAGTTGTTTCATTTCGGCAAGTAATTGATAACAAACAACACTCAAGGTATGTTTTATGCAGAAGTTAATAAGAGTTGACAGCTGGTTGCCACTGCTACCCCTACCCTGGTGCATTCAGCCTCTCCAGCCTGTATTTCTACTTAATTGTGTTTCACTGTCACCTGCGTGTCAGAAAGAGGCTAGGCTTAGTGGAACCAGAAGGCTGGGAATGAGGAAGCGTCAACCTCCCAGTTCCGTGGCAGTATTGCCCCTTGGACTTCACTGCTACAGCCTATTTTCTTTCTGTAGGTTTTACAGGTCCCTGAACATGTGACTATACCTCCTGACTTTCCTTATACCTTTATTTCTTCCACTGGAATATGAAGCCTCACAATCTTCATGGTATTTATTGATCACCAATCCAAAAGATCCATGGAAACATGCATCAGATGTGAAAAAAATAGGCTTCTACCACTACCTATTTGATAAAGACTATCTCATTCTGTAATTGTGATGGGTGAAAGATATGCTGTTTCTATCATCTGGGGTCTAGAACCCTATATATCAAACAAGGTGCATAACCTCCCTTGTATGGAACAGAATAACCAATATTGAGCATTTCTGGAAAAGTTTATTCTCTCTACCACAGATTCCAGTATTCAAATCTCCATAGTTGTTTAGAGACTCCTAAAAGCCAGGTTGGTCCCCAATCTTTTACTTACTATGAATGTCATAAGATCCTTTACAAACATCTTGGAAAAGAGCTTTCTTACAGGAGTGGATGAGGGGAATAAAGCATACCCTTCTACTATACTTGATAGGCATTTTAGGATCTATGGATCTGTCCACAGAGCCCAAGGCCTTGTCCCAGATGGATGAATGATGTTGGTAACAGGGTAAATACTCTGCACTCTTACGGGGTGGAGACAGGGGATGTAAAAAGGAGTTCCTTCTTATTTCCCTCATTTTCTCACCAATGAATCTACTTCCCATTTAAGAATGAACCAATGAAAAAGTTGAAGTGTGAATGTTCATCAAATTTGAGTAAAATGTGTAGTTAAAGTCACTTAATAGACAGTGATTTGATGGCGCATCTATTGTAATCTTCACAACAGTGATGATTTCCATACTTTGGACTCATATTGAAGGCATTATTAATAAATAATTAACAATCATGAGGGCTGGCATTATGAAAACTTGGAAAAACTTTTTCCCAAAATATAGATGGCCCTTTGTAATTTTAACACGATATGAATTACAGAAATAAATTGTATAAAAATCTCACCTCTATACTCAGCAACATATTTATCCCTAAATACCATTTAGAATATTTTTAAATACCAACAACCAACTCCACTAAGCTGAAAATACTAAATTCAGTTCCTGCTTCCTACAGTGCATAACCAAATACACACTGAGGACTGGAATCTTACCTACTTCTCCCCGTCCCAGAAGCTAAACCTCTGGAAAAGCCAGTCCTTTAAAGAAACGTTATAAACTGCCTCCTAATTTCACTATTGTTAATTGCCTGATTCGCCTGACAAGAGCTATTTCCTTTGGGGAATGTATCTTGCTCCCTGCCAAGGGTAGAGTACCTTTCTGCATATATATTATCACCTGCATACCCCCAATTCAATCAGCTTCTGTCAGTACATTGACCTCTCTGGAAAGTGGGAAGTGGTTATTTCCCCCCCCCTGTAGTTCAAAGCACAGACAATGTGAGAAGATGTGCCTTGGATTGTATTTCCATTTTCTAATTTAAGTACCACAACTGTGTTCCCAGCCTCCTATCCTCATTTTCTAAACCTCTCTCCTTAGTACTGGTTCCCTAGACTAGATCTGACACATTTCTTGTCCCAACTTTCCTTTAGGTCCATAATTCCATCATCATTTACATTCCCTTCCACTCTCACACCTGCTTAGCTCACCTGATTAACCCCATATTTTATTCTCTTTGTCTTTTCCCTTCTGCTTTCTTCCAGTTTATCAATAAACCCAAAGAGCAACAGGGCCCGGTTGATTTGTTAGTAATTATGAGCACACTGTTCGTGCTCATGGAACCCAGAGATGACTGAGATAGGTTTAAAGCGACAGCAGGAAATAGTAAGGAAATGGGGCATAGCAAAACTCAGCGTGAAGCTTTCAGTTCTTTACATGTTTACAATTTTCTGTGCATACATTAAAAGTGTTTTTTTTTTTTTTTTTTAACCTCTTCAGTTCCCAGTTGGGTGTCAATGCCAACTTCTGAATATAACACCCACAAAACTCATTCCCTTCCCTTTTTTGCTGCTTTATGTTGGGGAGAAGCAAAAAAGGCTAAAAACAGATCAGTATTTTGTTACCATGGCTGGAGTTTTATTTAAGAGACAGGAAAGAAAAATGATTAGAGAAATATTATTCATTAGTAGACCACAGAAGAGCTAAAGTGTTAATAGGCTAGCTTTTAATCTCTATTCTTTAAACTTAAGTATGAAATTACAGTTTTGAGATCTCTGTGTTTGATTGGATCTGCTGGTGAGGAGAAGGGAAGAAATGAATCTATCTTACAGATTCATGGTAAGTCTCTCTGAAAGGCACTCTTGACCTAAAGATGTAAATGACATCAGGAAACAACCAAGAGGCTTAGCATTGATTCAAAGTGACCCCTAAAAGTTAGCACTCTTCTTTTCACCAGCAGAGCACCCTTGCCTCACATTTGAAAACCTTCTCATGTACCTGAGATTAAATTGTATTCTGCTACTATAACACATATAAATGTGGGGACTGAAATTGTGGAAAGAAACATTAAATAATGTCCACAAAGAAAGAAGGGATATAAAAACAACTCAAACATCCAATATTGTCATCTTGTAGGGACAGAATATAAAAGGCTGGAAACTGAGTTGGGTGTCATCGCTTACATGGTGTGTAGAAGCTTGAGGAAGTCATTTATTGTCTGTCTGTTTCAGCACTTGGGGTGTTGAGGAAGAATGTTTAACCTGCCTGACTTTGAAAGAGTGGCCGCAATGTTTCTCAGGGTCTCTAGCTGATAAATAACTATTGGGATCCAAGTGCACCTTGGAAATTCGAACTTCTTTTGAAAGGGAAATTCATACAGTTCAGAGACTCTGACAGACTCTCAGAGCACTGTACCCTCTAGGTCAGAAGAATCCCAACAGAACCAATTGTAACAGAAATGTTGCAATGTCTATTTCCCATGAAAGAAAATCCACACCAATCAAAGTGTTTATGTGGAGAAGGGGCCAGAACTAAGGGAAAGAAAGTGGGAGAGAATGGAAGTTGAACTGAAACTAACCAAACAGGATATCCCTAAGACCAATGAAAATGCCCCACAGTCACAACATTTGAACCTTGGATTCTAGCCACGCTAGCCTTTCCAAGAAATCCCAGCATATTTTCTGCTGTCTAACGTGTTAAACAAATTGCATATTGGCCTCTAATTACACCAGAAACTTTCTTCTTAAAGTTTAGGTGAGCCTTTTGTTTTAGTTAAGCTATATGATGGTGGCAGTGATCATTTTATTAGCTGGGTTCACCCTCTTTCTCCTCCCAACCCCCCAGATTCCTAATCTTAATGGAATTTAGAGTTAAGAATGATTTTTTAATGTCTCGTTGGATTTTTAGACTGTTAATGTACCGAATCCTTCTCATTATTACTTTATTGATTGCTCATTGACCAGCCCCCTTCAAATCGTATTAACCACCCTCTGCCGGTTTAGATTAGGAGAGTTTAAAAAGCACCTTTCATTACTCCCCCCCACCCACTTCTGCCACGAAGTTGAGACTAGGCAGCTTAATGGGAGCTCTAATGGGGCAGCTAAGAGGAGAGGGGCCACGGTCCCTGCCGATTGCATTAATAGCTCAAAGGGGGCCAATACAGAAAATTAGCCGTAAACGAGCTCTGGAGATCTTCAAATGAAAGAGCCATTTATCACGCTGGCTACCTTCACTCCACTCGTTTGCTCTCTCTACTGGGAACAACTCATTTCCTCTTAACTAAATTACTTCAGAAATGTCAGCTAAGCCCAGATAGCAAACATAACAAGAGAGGGAGCCCATAATCTATGGGTGATAGAAACACAGGTGAAAACTTAGACTGGTTACATTTTAGAAGGGGCCTTGCTATAACTGGGGAAAGAGACATAGAGACATGTATCATTTATGCCTAAGTCTTCTAGCTTCGTAAACACAGGGGCAAAGACCCCCAGCCTAGACCACTTGCCAGTTTTTCACTAATGAGGTAGGTTTGTCTTTTTGTTTAAAAATTCTGCCTAAAAGCCCATTAGAAAATATATTAAGAAACGGAGCCTTCTGCCAAGTGTTGAAATTTAGAATATGAAGTTCACAAGACTTTCTCACCTCTTTTACAAAATTAATCTCTTGGAAACATCTCTTATAACTGGGGGGATGGTGACCAAAGATGGGAGGCTAGGGTGCAGGGAAGGGGCCAATGAACCCACCACAACATTAAGTGGCTTACACTGAGATAGAAAAGTAAATCAGCCTCGTATTCTTATTTTGCATTGGCTCTCTAAAGAAAAAAACAACATGACATTAGGATCTTTTCTTAATGTAATAAAGCAAACATGTCAAATATTAAATAATGGAATTGACCTACCATTGTATCATATTCATACCACACCCCCTGAATCAATTAAAGTGACTAGAATGCTACTTAAATATTTTAAGCTGCACATTTTTTAAAAAGCTGTACATTTTGGGGGACATAAAATGTACTCTGGTGTTTCCAAAAACAGATTCATCAACTTTAGTCATCATTCTCCTTTTTTTATTCCTGTAGACAACCTTGCACATAAATACTCACATTTCACTGACAAACATATACAAGCTCTGAAACCAAAGCATCCCACATCTAAGAAAACCTTCAGCTCCGTTTTGCTAGGCAAGCTAAGTTACAAATATTTTTATTGGACTGGCTATTAATAACATTTCTGATTGGTCATCTGTTGGGCATGTTCCTCTGCCAGCCCAAATGATGTTGCTAGGATACAGAACACCGAGCCAAGTGGTTCTAGCTTTCCATGAAAAGGGAGGAGGAACTAAAACAAACCGAAAAAGCCAATGAAGAAGCTCCTCCCCCACCCCACCCTAATAAACCAGCAATTAGCTGAAAAAGAAGACCCCAGAGAAAATGAGAAAAGTGAGCTGTCAGTCAGCACAGTTGCAAAGCTAAGCACCAAGCCTGGGTATCTTAGCAAACCCAGAAACAAGCATTAAAAGCCGAAACAATATTATTTAAAGGAGAGAGAGAGAGGTGTGAAGCAACCATTAAAATAAATAGTTTTACCCCAAACCTTACTATACATCAGGATATTCATTCCAAAGCCAAATGGTATCATTCCAAGTATAGCTTCCCCCAACCACCTTTCAAAACTACTCTGCCTGCCTTTGTAAAAGAAGACAGTTTGGAATACCTCACCCTGTTTGGAATCCTTATTCCACAACCTTTCTACTATCCCATTTGAGTCTGGATGAATTACTTCTCAAAGCATTTTTTCTTTTAATTGTTTTTGTGAATCTCAAGTGGCTCAAGTGAATCATAAATGATTGAAAACTGGGTATTGTTGACACTAAACATAGGGACAGGCTTCTCTAGCATCCAAAAGGAAGGGTTACAGTATTAAAATTCTATCTTCAAATGCCAGTTCCTGTGATAATTAAAGATTGTACTGTTTACACATTTAAGCTTCTAAATTTGTGGCATGTGAGTGACACTTAGGCCTTTCAGCAGCCACACTAATCGCCAGGCATTCTCTCAGTGACTGTCAGAGAAGAGGAGAAAAAAATTAAGCAGCTGCAATACGCCCGAAATGAGTTATTGTAATTACATTTAATTAGTTTAATTAGTTAATTATTTTGCTTACAGCTGTACAAGAGACTGCAAACATTTGTTAATATCACATGCCCTTTAACAGTATGGGGTGATTCCACAGTCACACTAAATCATGAATACATATGTAGGAAGATTTAAAAATGTGTATAAGCTGTCTCAGCTTCTCAGGATGCGCATATTTAGCAACACATTTGGCACAATGAAAAAAATAATAAAAGAAACAACTCATAAAACACAGAGAACTGGGAACAAAATGATCACCAAAAAATCAAATACAAAAAGAAGAAAGAACTATCTCAATAACATAGGATTCAGCTCAGCAAACTCCAGTTACCATTGAAATTATTACAGCACCGTCTTGAAACCAGTGTTTACCAGCCACTTCCATGCATGATGATAGCTCAATTATTTAAGATGTATCGAGAATGGCTACCAAATATGCCATAAGAAAAATGGCAATAATCTCCGTCCCTCTGTCTCACTCATCTGAGTTTGTGTCTGAGGTTTTCACTGTCCCTTGTCCAGTTTCCTTTTTCCCAACATGCCGTTTCCCCTAGTCTGACAGCCATTGTCCTATGATTGTGAACAAACATTTATGTTTTGTCATATAATGAATTCCCCCAAAGTGAAAACTCATCATGAAGACGTTAATGCATGAGAAAACTTTGCTTACTTTTGGGGGGAATAAACCATACCTTTTTTAATGACAGACTGGTCCAATAGATTCATGCCGCTGTTATTGGCATCTTCAACTGACTGTGAATATAAAAACATCACTATTCAAATTGACTGGATATTAAAGAATTGCACAAATAAATCATGTTATTCCAAACTGGAGTTTCTGTTATTTCCACTTATAATAATTCATAAAGGGCAGTTTTATTATTATTACTTCCAAATCGACATAGAAATGAAATCTACTCAAATTATAAATTCTTCCAATGGAAGAAAAGGAGAAAGGAAACTTTGAGAGACATCTGGGATGCAACATTGGTTTAGTTATTATATAAAACATAGATATTACAAAGACAAACCTTTATATTGTTTGCTCTTACAAATGTAAAAATTTGGCAACAGCTGACAGATTTTCACCAATATTAGTAAGAGCAATTTCTGTTTTCCATTCTATCCCAGTGCATTTAACCCCAGAGCCATTTTACAAATACATAATAGTTTACATTATGGGATTTTAATTAAAGTCTGAGCAATTTGGAATGGAATGCAAACAGCAACACATAGGAACATGTTTGCAAGCCTCTAGGACTGTACACCCATTACAGTCCATACACGTTCCTGTAAGCTATGAGCCTCTTGCTGCACAATGATAATCTCTTAGAGGAACCTGCACAATTTACCCTTCCTCCCAGCCCTGCTGATGCTGCTTCCCAGCAAGGAGCACACCTGTTAGGAAGGTAGTAACTACAGACAAGCAGACACACACAAAGGCCTGGATCCTCCCAGTCAGCACCTAGGTAATCGCAAGGAATGTTCATCTTCTGTGCCACAGTTTCATTCCAGAGAAGGAAACTTTCAACTCTGAGCACTGGCAGCACTTCTGAGAGGAAATAGCTGTTGGAGCAAGTTTCTTACTGTCAGAATACACATGAACAGAGTTCTGGCTGTGCATCCCAGGGCGTTCAAAACCAGTGATTCCCTTTCTCTCCCCACCAAGAAAATAAATGCTAGGTCTTGGTCTTTCTAAAATCTATAACTACTTTCTTGACCCTTCAAACCTAAGTTGGGACCAAATTGTCACCCACTCTATAGAGAAGTAAAAAGCAAAGGGTTTGAGAGTGAGGAGGTGTTTTCACAGAACTCACACCCACTCATGCTGCGTCCTCACAATGTGAGTTTATCTCACACAAAAAAGACTGTCTATCCCAAACAAGCAACACTTTAGATCTAATGATCTAATCATAGAGGGGGCATGTTAATTTGTTTCTTTTCATTTTTAATAGTCACTCCTCTGTTCTCAGAAAGGTGAGCAAAATTGTTACTCTCCATAGGAACTATTTTCCTTGCTGCAACATGCCATGCCCATCTTTAGAAATAGTAAAAAGGTGTTTTTAAAATAGTTCATGTAACTTGCTCATAACTCCTCAGGGGACCCTGCCACACACAAACACACACGATTCACACCTTCCTATGATCATGTGCCCACAGTGGCAATGTGTCTAGGCAGGACAGAAATATTTGCCTGTGCCTGTGGGCGGTCAGACCCTGACTTACACCGGCCTGGACCGGGGAGCTCCCACACCTTACCCTCACGTTTGTACGTAAATATGTATAAACGCCTCATCAGCGACGTGGGGTAGTTGTGGTAGTTAATGAGAAGGCTCTTGTCTGATTTTCTATCTAATTACGGCCGCCTGCTGGGTTTTTGTACAGGATATTCACGCAGCATGCTGGCGCTTAATCGTCACAGGGAGGATCGTAAAGATTTAATTAGGACTGCATGCGGAAGCGCAGAAAAACAACTCAGACTCGTAATTACTATACTTCTTTAGTTAAAAGTGATACCGGGGGTTGCTTTAAGACACTTGGGTGTGTTTGAGTGTGTGTATGTGTTTGGGGGGGGAGCTGATTTAACATCCTTATATGTTTATATTCATGGGTGGTAGAGGGATGGGAGGTAAAAGAGCAAAGATGGGAAGAAGAAAAGAGGTGTACATGGCAACTAAACAAATCTCAAACAAATCGTATTTCTCTCCCTCTGTCTCTCTGTGTTTTCTTGAGTTTTTAACACTTGTAGCCCCCTCCCCAACCACACACATACATACACACACATGCACACATGCACGCACAATGGGTGAAATGTAGCATACCCAGAACCCAAACAGCGATTTGCTAGTTTAATAGCCCCTGTGAGTAAATTGAAATAGAAATTGACAGGGTTTTATAGTTTCATTTTAAAAAAATATTAGAAGCATTTGGTTAATTAGCTCTCCTCCTTCTCTTCTCTCACAATGGGGGCTGTGGCCCTGAGTGTGTGCGTCTGTGTCGCACATCAAAACCCTCGACCCCTAGGCCAGGCAGCACCCTAAGGATCTGCCTGCTCCCTGTCTCGGGGCGGGGGGTGGTGGGGGATCTGGAACACACACGAGTTCCTTGAGATTGGAACAAGTGACTTTAAGGTCCAGGTCTAGGCACTCTCTGGTCCTTTTAAAGACTGGACCAATGCAGTTCACCCATTTGGTAGCTGCAGGGATTGTTGAAATCCTGACCTGCTTGTGTAACTTTAACCCCCGCACTCCAGATCCCTAACTCAGAAGCGGATCCTTCTGTATTGAGCAGAGGAATTGAAGCCTCTGGATTTGAGGCTCTGGTTCTGGAAGCACAACCCACAATCTTTGTCACCTGCTGAGTATCAGTCAACTTCACCCTGGCCTCAGGAAGTCTGTCATCACCGTGGAGACAGAGACTGTCCTTGTCTTTGCTGTTACCCTTTAGGGACAGCAGCCGGGTGTGTACTCTGAGATCCCTATCACTACAGGGGTTGTCCCAAGAAGGTCCTGAGGGCCTCCCCCAGGTGACAGGATGGGATGAAGCAGGGGAGGAACAGGGCGGGGGTCGGGTGAGTGAACAGCTTTTGAGTGCCCCCCTTCCCCCAGTCTGCTGCCTGCTGTATTTCTCCTTTGGGCTCTCCACCCCTCTGCGGTTTGTATTCCCGACAGCAGCAACTTGGCCCCGCGGTGCTCTGTTCACGCAAACACTCTAAATCCTTTCCGACGCTTTGACAAGAGTATTCTCCCAAATGTGCACTGACCTGGTCCTGTTTTTCTCTCAGACTTTGCATTTCACCAAACATAAAATCTCTCAATTCTGTCTTTAAAAACATTTAACTGAAGAAATCTGCTCCTTCTTTTGGGGGAAAAAATTCCTGAGTCCCTTCACTAGAGTCACTGGGCATGTAGGGTGGTGGTAACACTGCCGGCATTAGCATCACCAACAGTAATGGTGATGAGTTGATCCACTTCCATTATCCAGCACTTTGAACCATACTCCGAAAGGTTAATTTAAAAACTGTCCCCCACCCACACATTACCCCAATGCATTAAAAAAAAACTATTAAATACTTCCTTTCTCATATGATATTCCAAAATGAGCAGTATCTCTAAACAGGGACAGTCAAGCTCAGTTAAGTCAACAAAACCATCATCACTCTTATTACTATTGGTAAATCTAGCCACAAATCAGGTAATTCTGTCTTTTTTTAAAAAATAACTGAATTTCTTTTAAAACAATAAACAATCATCGACCACACACAGAATTTGATGCTGTCATCACATTTTAACTGTTTAAAAATACTTTTTTTCAGCAAGGTACAGAAGAATACTCGTGCACCCTTTTCCCTTTCCATTTTACTTTCCTTTGCTTCAGTTATGTCAAACGATGCATAATATATACAACTATGCCAATGAAACTGAAGTGTCAACTACATACCTGTAAACTACACCTTTTCTGCAGACTAATTAACTTAGGGTGAAAAAGGAGACCTGCTCGGAATCACCCAAACAGTTTTTAGGAATCATTTCTTTGATGTTTCTTTGTTTAGTTTAACCAAGTATTCTCAACCAAATCAGGCTCCATTGTGTAGACTGCAGATGGGATAGTGGGTGGGTAGGGGAAGTGTTTTGAGCCTTTTGTTTTAAGAAATAAACACGTGATGCCTCTCTACTGGGATGATTGCAGTGGGGAAAGAAGAGTGTTAAAAGAGGGGGAGGCCAGGAGAGGGAGGGGGAGAATATTGCTCTGCAGTCATACAGTCCTTTAATGCACCAAAAAGTGAAAAGAATTTCCAAAATGGTATCTACCATCACGGACTCCCAAATTATGGCTTTCTGAGTTTCTCCTTCACATACATTCTATTTCTCAGATGAGGACTGCAATTTTATCTTGGAAAAAACTCTGTAGCTTATGGGACAGTCAAAGCAAGACCTGGCTTAGACGAGCACAGCTCATTTTCATGCTTAGCAAAATCTTTGCGAATCCAGCAGGAACCTCTGGAGCATACAGAGGTCCCTGCACCTTCATGCTGGAGCTCTAGCCTCTAGGCACCCAGGTCTTCACCTGCCCAGTCAGCAGGACAGCCCCGCAATGGGGTGTGTATGTTGGTAAAGGTGGAGGTACCAAGCTTGCTTCCGCAAAGCACTAGAGAATATGCAGGAGATGATAGCTGAGGCAGGACAAAAGCATTCGTCTTTATTCTAATAATCTTAAAGTATCAAAACACATACATATTTTTCTTCCTCAAGATTTAATTTCTCATGATTCGGATTATCATAATTAGACCTCTGGAAATCGCCACTATAGAACCATACATACGGACACACATAAACAGTTCTATATGACTGTCTAGTCCTGTTCTAAACATGGGAACGAACTCCCCAAAAGGAGACCGAGCTGCCCTCTCCCGCCCCTCCCGTTCCCAAACATTCCTTATTCGTTGTCTTGTTTGTTTGTTTGTTTGTTTGTGGTTACCTGGACATCTTCCATTCCGGGATGGCCGAGGCCGTGCAGCGAGAGGCTGTCACCCATGCCCGCGTCCAGGCCGTGGTGCGCCGAATGCAGCAGCACGTCCGGCCGGCGGACCGAGTGGTAGTCCCTCCGGGGGTCAAGGCCCGAGAGCTGAGGCAAGGCGGCCCGAGGCTGGGGCAGGAGCGAGCCGGCTTCCGAACCCACTTCTTGCCGCTGCCGTTGCCCCCAGGGGTGCTGCTGGGGCTGGTGCAATGGGTTCAGGGAGTAGGGGTCGTTGACATGGGAGTAGGGGTCCTGGCTCTGGTGGTAGGGGAGCGGCTGGTAGGGGGGTGGGAAGTAGGGCGGCTGGAAGTCCGACGACGGGGTGTGGGACAGCGGCGGGGCGCTCGAGTAGGGTCCTTGGGACACCGAGCCCAGCTGAGAAAGCCGCGAGCTGTGGCTCGGGACGCCATCGTGCCGGTCCTGGGAGCGGAGAGAGGAAGAGACAGAGAGAGCGAGAAAGAGACAGAGATAGAGAGAGACAGAGACAGAGGCAGAGAGTGACAGAGAGAGAGAAAAAAAAAGTGACAAATGGAGAAGTCCGGCTTTTGTACGCTCTTCCCGGGACAAGGGAAGCAAGGATCTGAAACTTAAACCCCCAAGTTGATTCAGAGGGCCACATGATTTCAGCAATTTCAAACCCGAGGCTTGGGGAGAAAATGGGAAAGGGATCACCCACTTAACTATAACATTTTAGCTGCCTTTTGGGGGGTGCAAAGCAGGCAAAAGGCAGGAGTAGGAACAGCGCGTATGGAGGGAGATTCTAAATGCCTTAATTAAAATTGTGGGAATCTTACATATGATGTTTGCTCCTCTGGGTGTTTTTAATTATTTTTTTTTTCTAACTCTTCTAGAAGTCCAAATCACAACAAATAAAACTTCGTAGTGTTTGCTATCCTACTCCCCTGATTAAAAACCAACTTCTGCCTTCACTGGCAATGCAGCTAGCTGATCAGGAGCTTTTCACACAACCTGATCATTCCAAGAGCTCCAAGGAATCCCCCGGTCTGAGTTCCCAGTCACTCCTCCCTCCCCAGGAGGAATTAAATAACTTAAATAGTGTTTGACTGAAATGGATCTCATTCCAAATCGTATCCTAAGCCCAGGCTGAATTAAGTTGAATTGTGGTTCACAGGAGTTATTTCTAAGATTGTTTTTCTGTATCTAATGCTGTTATACTCCAGGATGTGAAAATGAAGGACCTAAAGTAGTTGTGAGGGGAAATGAAAGCTCAGACAACTTATTCCTGGTTCTATCTGGAGTGTGAACTAAGTGAAAGAAGGGGGAGGTGTGTATATGAGGGAAGTGGACTTTGTTTCTCCTTCTCCTCTGTGGAAATACCATGGTAAACTCCCCATGGTTCTTTTTGCAGAAATAGTCACCTAAATTTCCAAACTGCAATGGCAAATAAAAAAGTTTTTCTTTTCGGCCTCTCCCCTCCCAGCTGACTCATGGAGCTCAGACGAGAACACACAATGCAGAGAGAAGCAGCTGCAGCCTCGTCCAATTATGGTGCTAAATTACCAAGCCAAAGGCGCTCAAAGGAAGACAGAGAGAGACAGAGTATGAGACACACACACGCAGAGACTCAGAGACAGAGACAGTGAGAGGAGGGAGCATGCAATTCTGGTAACACGTGAATCCAAACTCACCATGGATGAATAGGTGTGGACTAACATCTGGAAAAAAAAGCCTGGTTACTGCTCAAAATCAAACAACGATTAAAAAAAAAAATCAAGGAGTCCAGCAGACAAGCGAGCTGGACGCAGAAGCTGAGCTTGAGGTGCTTCCAGGACAAGCCATCAAAAAAAAAAAAAAAAAAATTACCCCCCCACCCCAACAAGATTGGCGATGACTGTCACACACAGACAGAACTGTTCATCTGTCTCTTTGCTGTCTTTTTGGCCCCTTTTCTTCTGCCGTTCTTCAGGGCTCCAGATGCAGTCCTCTTCCACCCGAAGCTGGGCTCAGACTGCTCGGGCGCCCCTTCCTCCCTCCGTTTGCCTACACCGCCTCATAATAATTGATATTCATGACTATTAATATTACACGAGTACTTTAAAGGGAGAATGGAGGACAAATGGAGCGTGAAGCAGCAGCGAGCGCAGAGCTCCCCTACTATTGTAAATGACGTTCATTCAGTGGAGAATTACTAGATGTAATCAGACGAGGGGGCTGGCAAAGGCAGACTGGGGAAAAAGTTTAGCAGGAAAGAGGCAGAACTTCAATTAACTGTGCCGGAGACACGAGTAAAGCAGCCCCTGCTCCTTTGGACAAGGCAGTGAGGGAGAGCAGAGCTGGGGGCTTGTACAGAATGGAGGTGTTCTCCTACCTGGAGAAAGATTTTCCTAATCGGAAGAATTGATCTCCCTGGGTGCTTTGTGTGTGGATTAAAAAAACAAAATTAAAAAAAATTGCTTCATCATTTGGAGGAGAGAGAAAAGAAATTGGTGGGCCTGGTTATTTACGGTGACTTTTGCAGACTTTTACGAAATGTGGAAGATTATGCTCATTTATTAAAGGACAGAAGCGAGATGGGGGCTTTTCATCTCTTCTACAGCCTTTTCCTGTTTAGTGCTCACACAGTCTGCGATTTTTACCTCAATTTAAAACATAACGCCATCAATCTTCAAATACACTAAACTTATCCTTTCCAGGCAAAGCCAGGGGCAACAGAAAACCTTTTTGGATGTTTCAGGAACCCGTTCAACTGGCCTGACAGCCATTTCTGTTAAAGTTCAACCTTAGTCCAGACTTAAATAGGCTCCTTACACCGAGCTGCGGATTCTGTTTTTTTTTTTTTTTTTTTTTTTTTTTGAGCAGAAAATTAGGCGGACAGGAGTAACTGTAATATTCCCTTTCTCTCCCTGTCTCTCTTTCTCTCTCTCCCTCCCCCCTTTTCTCTTCTCTCTTCCCTCCTTCCACTCCACCCCTCCCTCTTTCTCTCTCCCTCCCTCCTTTCTTCTCTCCCTCCCTCCATTTCCATTTAGCTACCTTACTTTCAGTAAAGAACGAGTGTTACCCTGGTTACTTTTTAGAACCCACTGAAATGCCGCTACATATACCTTGAGCTGTTTTCATCATGGCCCCATCCCTGCTAATGTCATACCCATTTTGGGCGCTAATATTCTCTAGGACAGTTCTAGCGCCTTCGACTTTACCATTATCCCGCGTGTTAAGGAAAGAAAAGGAGGGCGAACCGAAACAATCCCCACCAGGCGCATAGGCGCGGCTCTTCGTTACACTCGATACACAACCACAAAGAGGAAAGGAAAACCCCGAGCATCATTCAGCAACAAGAAGAAATCTCCCTCCTCTCCTCTCTCTTGCTGTTCTCCCTCTGGTCTCTTCTCCTCTCTCCTCCACACCCCCGCACACACACACACACACACACACACACACACACACACACACACACACCAGCTTTAGGATTCCGGATGGGCAGGAGCTGGGGGCGCCGGGCGCTGCTTGTGGACGCTCGTCGGAGCCCGAGTCCCGCAGGAGCTTGCCGGTTGCTCCTGTGAGTCGCCCACTATCTTAGAATCCTTGAGGGGGCTCCCCGCTAGACTTTCGGGTGCTGTCCGGATCCGGAGGGGTAGCGCGTCTTTCTCGGCTCTTTGGGGAGCCTCTGCGTCCCTCCACCTTTGGTCCTACCGAGCGGCCCGCGCCCGCCGCCCGAGAGTGTGCTGCTCTTCCTCCCTTTTCTCTCCAACTTTTCCTCTTAGCAATCTCCATGGTCCGCTTCGCCCGCTTCCACTTCCCCTTTTCTAACTCCGCTTCGCCTTTCCTTTCGCCTTTCCGAAGCTTTTCTTTCCTCCCTCGACGTGTCCGCAGAGCCTTCGCTTCCTCCCTTCCTCTGGCAACCACCTGGGGCTGTCCCTGCCCATTCCGCTTTAGAGCAAGGCTCCGCGGGCTCCCCTGTCCCCAGCCCGGCCCTCCGCGTGCTCCGCGCCCCGCCCGGACGCCCACCTCGCCCGCCTCTCCCGAGAGTGGCGGAGCCACCCGGCCTCTTCGTCAGCCCTCGCCCGAGCAGGAAAAGGGCACTGGCGAGCGTGGCCCGGGCCCAGGAGGCGGCCGGCGTCCTCCCGGCTGGGCGCAACTTCTCCGGCCCTGGTAGAGTTAAGCTAGTCTCAGTGCCAGAGACCCGTGCGCACTGAACGTGGGCAGACATTTCCGTGAAAGATGCCCAAACAGGGGGCGGCCGCGATCTCTGTCGGACGCGCTGACCCTCAAGGAAGCAAAACACAAGAAAACGGAAAATAATAAACTGCTACGGCTCCTTCGATTTTGCTCTGTCCATCCATATCTCCATCCGTCTACCTCTTTCCCGCTAAGTCTCTGTCCTTTACTTGGATCCATTTGTAAAAATTTTAGAAATTTTATTGAAAATAAAATTTAAAAGCCCGAGTCTGTTACAAATGAAGCTTGAAAACCCAATTCTCTTCCACACTCAAAAGGAGGAAAGCCCCTGCCTTTATCAGAATCTCGATTTTCTCTGACAGCGTGCCCACATTCAGTAGCACCACATTCCCCATCAGACCTTAAAAAGGTGAGGTGGGGTGGGGGGAGGCGACGAAAAGAGAAAGAAAAATAAATTTTAAAACTCCTAAATTAAAGTTGCCAGTTTTCAACCTTGAAGTCCCTTTTCAGAATGGCGAAGTCTCCCCAAGCCAGCTTTTCTAAAAGTTAAAGAAAGCTGAGAAAACCGACTGGAAATCTACAAGTAAATAGCTTAAAAACATATATCAGTTGGGGTCTCAAGAAGCTCAAATTCTCTATCTGCAAAGCTCTAAGATGCATCTGGGGGTGTCGGCTCACCTCGTAGATATCTTCGTACTTGACATTCTCCACGAGCTTCCAGAGCATGATGGCAGCCTGGTCTCTAGGAGGTGAGTGCATTCATGTGAGGAGCAGATGTCTGGCTTCTCAGGACTCCGCTGTCTGTAATGATCCATCTATAATTGGAAATGGGGGATACACACCAAATCCGACGCTCCTCTCCCATCGCAACTTATATCTGTTGTCTCAAACAATAGGCTGGACAAGTAAGCCTCAGCAAAGAGAAAAAAACATTATTGCACACACAGGAGTTAGATGCAACCAACAGACATATATATTATAAAAATTATACACCCGTATTTACACCCAGACACCCACATATAGTTATATAAGCACCTCTGGGTCACATAGTCTGCAGACTCCAAATGTGCATTTGAGTTGTTCGGGGTGATTAATGTAATATATACATTTAAAAACCTCTATATTGAAAATGACAAATCATTGTAGCCACTAACTGAAGTCTTTGCAATTCATAATAAGAAACCAGGGGCCATCAGTCCCTTATTTTCTATGTAGATTTTAAAGGGGGACCATTAGTAAGATTTTTAAACACAAAAGCTCCTTCCTATTCATGTGTGTTCCGGAGGAGAGTATTTTGAAAGGCTGGATATGGGAGATTTTAAGGACTATCTCTTTGTGTTGATAGCTACATAACTTTTTTTTTTTTAACTTTATCTCTGTCACCGTAGAACAAAAAAGCTAGCCACCGTTGGTGACCATTTCTAATATTTTCTGGTCGTTTTGCCTAAAACCTTTGGAAACTCAACTACAGCTCAGTTTGGGCTGCTTGTTATTTTGATGTTGTTTGTGTACATTTTCAACGGATTCCACGCACCATTCCTCTTGGCTGGAGTCTCCATTTTATCAAGTTTTTTCAGATGTTGAAAGCAACATAGGCACACATTCACACAAGGTTAATTTTGAACCTTCTTTGCAAAGGCAAAGGACATTTTGTATTTGCATCTGTTGTGTATGACTTGTAAGTGGTTTTAATCATGGAGAGTCAAGAAATGGCTACCTGAATCTTTGAGAATGTTTAAGCAGATTGTCTTCAAAGAGATAAGAGAAATATTTTAGGGCATGTGGAGTTTGTTTGGTGTTTTTGTTGTTGTTGTTGTTGTTTGTTTGTTTGTTTTGGTATATTTTTCTTAATAAGGTGATTCATATAGTTTTCTAAAAACATTATCAGCAACAAGCACAATATTAAACAGACTTCGAAAATGAATACCTTTTAAGGCACAGGGCTTCTGAATTTTATCATAAAATAAATGCTCATTTGTTCCCCCTTTTCCCATCCCCTCTGTTTTTCTACTCCCTTTCAGGGTGCGGAAGTCTACTCACAGCCGGAACAGACGCCCAGAAGAGGATCTCTTCCCCCTGGGACAGAAGAGAAATAAATGCCAGGAGGGACCGAGGAGGGATGGGGCAATTTGGGGTGGAAGTTATTAAACCTGTTAAGAGTGAATCTGCAAATGGTGATTGTCTTTAAATCCAAGGCTGCTGTGTGTTGTTCTGTGCGCGCAGGAGTGGACACTCTTTGAGCAGAGGACTCCGGACAACCGCGTTGGACGTCGATGAGATCAAAACCAAGGAGACCCTTCATGAAGTGCAGAATGAACAATTCTGCAGATTTTAAATTTAATTTTTAAAGATAAGTCCAATGAATAGAACACAAAGAAGGTGCCTCAGAAGGAACTTCAGAAATAAACCCTTTATTTCCGGTGCTAATTTATTTTTTGTTTTGCCTTTCCTTTTCTCTTCTTCCTCCTCGTTTTCCTTTTTTCTTTCCTTAATTTCCCTTTTCCTTTCTTCCTTTTTCTCTCCATTCCTTTCCTGTCCTTTAAATATTAACCTCAAATCATACACAATTTATACAGGTTTTTCCCTAAGAGCATCAGCAAAGATTTTCTTCTGTGTCCCCAGAGCTAGTTAGGAGACAGGAAGGCATTCTTCCTAATCTTATTGTGTGACGGGACTTGAAACGGGTTCCACACCCCCGACTGCTGAAACTAAAATCAGTGCCAGATCAATACTCTGAAAGATAAATATTATAGACTTGGAAATTCAGATTCTCCAGACGCAAGATATTTAATTAATGGAAATAATTGTTTTCACCCTTTCAAATCAATAACACTCTCATCTTTATTGCCTAAAGATCATTATAACACAAATAAAATGCGTTTGGAAAAATCCTACTTTTTTTCTCTAAATGCTTTTTACACCTTTTAATCTCTTTTTGGTATATTACTGCCTAGTCTAAAATAAATAAACTCTGAAGTTTAGCAAAATAAAACCTGCAAGAGATTTTTATATTCAAATGTAATATATATATATATATATATATATATATATATATATATACAATATATTATGTTAGTATAACTATTTTGTAGGCTTATATATCAATAATTTCACACTTTTCATATGTAACTTTATTTTATGCTCGTATTAGGTATTTTTTTAAAGTGGAAATATCTTGAGAGATTTGGTTAAAATTTAAGTTCTTTAGGAAACCTGAAAAATAAATCTCGTATCATTAAGAATTAGGAATAAACCTAAAAATATACATATAGAGAAATACCTTCAAAATACATAGCAATAATTAAAACCCTAGTTAATTTTTTAACGTGGGCGTTATTCGAAAAATCCTAGAAATTGCAAGGTAAACCGTTCCCACGAAGCGTTCCTTGTCATTGAACGGGCAACAGCGCCCTCTGTCGGAATTTTGTAGAAGCAAACTCTGCAAGGCCCCTTGATTTTCGGCAAAGGTTTCTTTCCGTTCTTGAAAACCTGTTACTGAGAGGAACACTTTGAAAGTTCACTTTTTATGATATTTACTAATTTTAGAAACAATTTTCCTAGCGTATGAAAAGTTCAAACGCCTCCAGAAAGGCACAATAAGAACTCATCCACTACGGAGAAAATTTTCCTCAACTTGAACCTGCCTCTCTTGCTTTTTCTTTCTTTTGCATTTCGCGTTAGGAAAAGATTCCCGTAAGAACTCAATAAATGGAAACACAAAGACAAAACAAACTCTGGATTCGAAAAGGACTAAACGAGTAAAATACGCGTTTTCATAGTTATTTTGTCTTGCCTTATGCCCATGCTTCTTTTTCAGGATTCGCACATGCTCGCCTAGGTGGAACCTCACTTGAGAGACATCCCAGATAGTTAACACTCGTGCTTTCCTCTATCATGTATGTTTATTTCAGTTTAAAACAGCAAAGAGTTATTCATACCCTCTTTTTTTAGCCTCATATAGAGGAAATATTATTCAGTAAGTGTCGGAGTCTATAATTAAAAGCAAATGCACCCAGCGTGAAGCCCTCTGCTGGTGATTTTCGAAGTAGGTTTAGGATTTTTTTTTTTTTAATGTAACAGAAAAATATCATTATTAAATCAAAGTCAACTAGGAGCATTTTCATGTCTTCTTTCATCGTTCTTCTAAAAACCTAATTATGAAGTATCTAAAGGTATTTGATTTTCTTCCTTCCACTAACCTTCACCTTTACACCTGTGGGTTAAGACTTCATGAGTTACTTTCCTATGCAGATGCCCACTGTACCGCCTTTTCTTTTTCCATTACACAATCTCCCTGGGTTTCCCTTTTCCATCACCTAACACACACACACACACACAAAATACGAAAGTTAGAAAAGTCAAGAATTAGAATTATTGTGTCAAGTTTGCACCCTGGCCTTTCTCATTCTAAGTGGTGGGGTAGGCTACTTAATAGCCTGAGGTTCAGTGCACTGAACTACAAAATGGAAATGATTGTGAAAATTTATTAAAATAATATATGTGGGAAAATATATGTGGAACTGTTGCTTCAAAAACAATTTAACTTCTTATCACTGTCTCAAAACATTTAGCTGGGGGTCCAGAAAGTGGAGGCATCTAACAGCTAGGGATTTGCAGTAAGTTCTGGGTTAGCAAGTGGAGGTGGGAAACCCAACATAGGTCTTCAGACTATGTATTCAGCACTTTGCCCACAGTCTCATGATGCTGTCTTCCTTCTTTTCTTCTGAAGTTAAGATGACAGTAATTTTGGATCATTGAGTATTTCCAGGGTTATTTTTATAGTTCTGGATTTATAAATAGGCAAAGGAAAGAAGAAATGAAGGAAATACTGTCTTAATTCAGCATCCTCAAGATATTGCCCCACCTCTTAACCATCAGAAGCATTATTGTCCGCTGAATTGAATAGTAAGACATGACATCCATGTAACAGATCTTGATAAGTTAAAAAAAAAAAAAAGCTAAAACATGACAGCTCCATTTTTTTATTGTTACAGTCTGGCTACTTATTTTCCTACCATGTTTCTGTCTTGAAACTTTCTCGTGATTATGTTTTCTGGAAAGATTCAATATATGTTTTTATTATCAATTTGGAAAATGAATACTGTTAAATGTCTAAAACTACAATTTACGTACCTGCTTTCAGATTTCTAGGACTTCGATACTGTTTAGGTTTCAGTGACTTGCTATAAGGAAGTAAAACAGGAGGGACTAATGTTTGCACAAGAGTGTTTTTAAAAAATGAAATGTAGGTGGGGTTATCTTTAGATGACTCTTCATAATTATCCAGATTGAGGCAAGCTCTAAACAATGTTTTTCTTACTTTAATAATAATATTTAATTGATGGTACATTTGTAAATTTGTAAAAGATACTGAGTTGATATCACTTGTGAGAATAAAAATAGCTGTAACCGTTAAAACTCCTTTTTTTCTCTGGGATTTTGAGAAGCAATAGTAATTTTATTATATATTTTATATTTTAGATATCCTGCAGCTCTTAATCTTTTCTGTTTAACTGTGGGGGCATGAAGTGGCCAACAGGACAGTTTTGAAATTTCTATCTCTTGGAAATAAAGAGGTTGAAGAATGGAAGAAGAGGGGCTGAAGTAAATGATGCAAACAGCCATACAACAATTGTTTTCAACACCAATGGGCATTTCACGTCCAAAATCTGAGAGGTGTGTGTCTCCCCTGCCATGACTAATGCAGGAGAACAGGTATTTTCATCATTGTGGATGTTTTCTATATTATTGCTTTAAGAAGGAGCAATCTTGAAGGGTGACAATGCTAAACAATTTGGTTTCAAAATGCAACCAGTAGACCAGTACACATCTGTGAGAAAAAAAAAAAAAAATTTGCAAATAAAGACTTTGAAAGATGTAGAGCAGAAACATAACCTTTAAAGCATGAATAAACACATACGGTGTATAGCATCAGAGCTGAAGTGTCTCATAAGTGCAAGGGACATTTGGGAGAAATTAGCATTATATTGGAACTACGTCCTAAAATTCACAATTTGCATTTTAATAAAAATAGGGAAGGATCTTCCTTTTATGCCTCTTTTTTATTTCTTTAACATAAGATGATTTTTTCACTTACCAGTTCTCTTGGGCAATTGATATGACCTTTCCAGTCTCAATTTTCTCATCAATAAAATGAGGAGAATTTGGCCAGACACGGTGGCTCATGCCTGCAATCCCAGCACTTTGGGAGGCAGAGGCAGGTGGATCACCTGAGGTCAGGAATTCAAGACTAGCCTGGCCAACATGGTGAAACCCCATCTCTACTAAAAATACAAAATTACTCAGGCATGGTAGCACATGCCTGTAATCTCAGTTACTTGGGAGGCTGAGGCAGGAGAATCGCTTGAACCCAGGAGGTGGAGTTGCAATGAGCTGAGACAGTGCCACTGCACTCCAGCCTATGTGACAAGAGTGAAACTCCGTCTCAAAAAATGATTTAAAAAATTTTAAAAGGGAGAATTTACTAGGTGGTATTCAAGCCTCTTCCTTAGAAATGTACATTATGAAACTTAAAAGCAAACTTAAAAGCATCAAGTAGTAATTAATGAACATTTTTATTTTAAATATTACTTTTTGAGACAGGATCTCACCTGTTGTCCAGGCTGAAGTGCAGTAACATGATCATATGAACACTGCAGCATCACCCTCCTGGGTTCAAGCAATCCTCCTACCTCAGCCTCCCCAGTAGCTGGACTACAGGTGCATGTCACCACACCTAGCTAGTTTTTATCTTTTTAGAAACAGGGTCTTGCTATGTTGCCCAGGCAGGTCTTGAACTCTTGGCCTTAAGCAGTCCTACCTCAGTCTCCCAAAGCACTGAGATTACAGATGTGAGCCACTGGGACCAGCCAAAAAAAAAAAAAATTAAATAAAAGTGTTCTTTCTGAGCATGTTGCAGCAAATCTTATTTTTCTGAAACCTTCTGTGAGAGAGTTTAGAATAACTAGCCCCAATCTTTTGATAAATGCTAATCACAAACATTTTTTAGGAATATGATTTAGAAGAAAGCAAACAAGGAAATGATAAGAAAATAGTGTCTTAATTTGTTCAGGCTGCTATAAAAAAACACCTTCCAGCTGTGGCAGGAAGCAAGATAACCATTTGTTCCTATTAATTATGCTGTCATTAGGACAGAATATAAGACAGTTTTA